TATATACATGTTAATCTCCCAAATACGCTCTTAATCACCTCTAATACTATTATATACGATATTCATGCTGTGGAAAAATTCATTGGATGCGAGATGGAATTGAATCATCACGGAATAAGCCCAGACCGAAGCACAACCGACTGTGCCACCATTCAACCCGATGACGGGTTATTTATTTTCATTTATATTTTTTCTGCAAATACTTCTATACAACAAATACCTCTATATCCCTCTAAGGGCACTCGACGGAGGGGACACAACAATTAATCAACAATTTAAAATTTCATAAGGGAGGGGTTTATTTTAAGGGGGGCTATTTTGAGGATTTACGGTAAAATAATGAACTTGAAAAACTGACCACGCAATAACCTTCTGAATCGAGGATGTTAGCTAATGCTACCTTAAATTTTATAAAATAATTTTTATTGTTAACTTTTTAGTCTTTTATGGTCTTAGTTTTTTTGCTCACTTTTGCCTGGAATTTGAAAGACCGGGCCAGGGCTCTTCTGATAGTATCCGTGCTGATTAATGCAAGTTATAACTTGGACACTAAATCCTATAAATATATCAGGCTTCATGCTGACTGTCTCAAAAATTCGATAGCTTTCCTAGACCCGTGTTTGAATTTTAATATTAAATTTCCAAGTAGCGGTACTTACTGATAATTGCATATGGCTGTAATCTTTGTCTTCTGCTAGATAGAGAATTTCTGAATAATATATAATTAAATATTTAATAAAATTATTAGATAAGCTAAAATTATTGGTGTGTCGGTCTTGGAAAATCAAGGATCTGGCCGGCATTTTTTGGATTACAACGGTCAAATAATAGTAAGACAATCGCAAAAAATGGATTTTGGACCCAGACTGCGTAAATATCAGGCAAAATTCGGTTCGAAACCGGGATCCAATGTAGTTCAACAAAAATATTTTTAAAAAATTAAAGAAATTTTATGTTAGAAACTTTGTCCTCCTCCACTTGCACAGTTGCCAGACTGAACTTGATGCAATTTTAGAGTGAGTAACACAAAAATTAAAGAAAATACTTTCATTTCTTCTGTTAAATATATAAATGTCAAAATTTGAGTTCCTCAGTTAATCCTGAGTTTCAGTATTTATATTAACACACTCTATTTATATTAACACACTCAGTATTAGAAACCCCCTAAAATAGAGCAAGAATGTTTAACTTTACAGAATGAAAGTCTCCAACAATAAGGTTAAGGTTGTTATCAGAGCTGTGGGCCAAAATTTTCTAAAATTTTTAAATCACCCCAAACGCAAAGCGGCAAAAATTCCCTATGATTTTCATTTTTGTTTTATTAGCTGGGCTTACTTAGCCAGATTTAAAATACAAACAAGTTTTAACCTTTAAAATTTTCCCTTTAAGCAAGTTCTGATTTATAATCGGCGAAATAGCAACCTACTCCTTAGATACACCAATGGAACCTTTTATCCGGCCATACGGTCACTTAAGCGGTCAGAGTATAAGAGGATTATATAACGGGAATGCAAAAAAATCTTTTAGTAACATCGCGGTATATAGCCCTCTATTTATAACTTTAATTAAATACATATAATAAATTTAAATAAATAGAAAAATTGAGCGAAGGTGAGTGAAGGTAATTTAAATAAATTAAAATTATAAAGTAATAAGATTTTAAAGACGCATTGAAAGGGGTCTCGCTATCCATCTCACTCTATTAGAGTGGCGCCAATAGAGAGAAAACGGCTGCGCTTGGTTTCGTCCTCTTTTGGATTTTGTCCCCTTTTGGATATCGTTCCCTTTTGGACTATGCATTTTCCCTCCTGAAAACTTTTGTTTCGTCCCCTTGACAAAAACATTGGATTCGTCCCACTAAGTTAATACTTGGCAGAAAGACTTTAATAAACATGGGATTTGACTACCGGATACTTTTTATAGCTATTGTCCGGGCACTGAGCATCCATCCGGGCACTGAACTTGAGATCCCGGAAGGATCTCAAGGAAAACGAGAATCTTGAGTTAGTAAAAATCTAATTTTTGTTTTTTAATTTTAGATTTTTTAAAGCTGGCCTAAACTTTGCTCATTGCGTGCCGACTTGTTCGGAATTTATATTTTGTTTTTTGAGTTTTTATTTTTTTAATTTTACAGTTGATTTCCGTCAGCCCTGTCTGACGATTTTCAATCGAAGGTGATGAACGAAGGTGGTGAAATGGCAGAACATCCAAGACTAAATAGTTCGACAAATTGAGTATTTCTACTCTGTTGAACATTTTGAGAGGGGACGAATCCAAAGGGGGACGAAACCAAAGCGCGCCGAGAAAACCCAATAGAGTTAAAATAAAATAAGATGCGGCGATAAATAAAATACAAAATACAGTATACTCGCGAGCGAGAATTTAAAAAATCTAAATTGCCAATAATTTTCACGTGTAAAATTTTCTTTTTAGCTTTTTAAAATTTAAAAAAATCAATATATTTAATTTAAATAAAAATGTTTAATTGGCATTTAATAAAAAATTTTCAATGAACGGTTAAAATAAAGTAAGATACGACGGTATGGCAGTTGAAACATAGGGTAAATGTCGAGATCGTGTCCCGCATGTCCGCAAAAGGAATTCTGCAAAATGCCTTTTGCAAAAATGCCTTAATATTCCTTGCGTAGCAGTGATGCAAAAGTTCCAGTTCCGGAACTGGAACCGACGAAATTTATAAAAAGCAGTTCGAGAACTAGAACCGGTTCCAGAGAAATTTTGGAACTTTTGCATCACTGTCGCGTAGTTAAATGATGGGTTTACAGTTTGGCGCTAACAATAAAGGATGTAGGGGATTAAATTTTTATTAATATTCAAGCTTATTATGTGTAGTTTTCAAAATTTAAGATTGAATACTTTAAAAAATAAATTATATAAATACATATTAGCAAATTTAAGTTTAACAATTGGGTATTATAATACTATTTTTAATGTTTTCAAACTGAAAAAGTTTGTTTCTTGAGCAACAAAAACAATAAATATCACTGAGTGTGTAAATCAAAAGCATTAAAAATGCTTACTAATTGCTCCATCTCAACGGTCATGATATTTAAAGGTATATCGATAAAAAATTTGGATGGCTCTCTCCTGAACTTTTTTAATCCCTCACAATCATGGACATCGCATTAACTCCTCCTCATCCCTTTTGTTCTCTTCAAAGCACTCGACATCTCATCCGAATCCAAAAAAATTAACTTTCATTGAAATTGAAGAAAGTTTAGCAAAACCAAAAGGGGCGGAAAACTATCGATTTTTACTGATTTTGTAAAAAATTATTAAACAAGGGGCGCCAATTCGTGATTATTATAAATTTTGATTGATAAGGGTTTATTCTCAATGTTATCTAGCAAATAATATACATATAGGTGTTGCCTCCTTAAAATTGTAAAATTCTTTTCATATTTATTATATGTAATACGTTTCTTGTCATTCATTTTTAAAAATCATTTAATTATTTTTTAAAAAAGTCTAGTGAATAATAAAGCTTCAGGTTATAAAATTTCAAATGACCATTACTTATAATGAACTAAATGATTTGATTAAAAATGGAAAAATAGACACGGTAGTTGTGGGTATGTTTTTAAGGATTTTTAAGGTCTTGTTGAGGATTTATTTTAGGAGCTAATTGGGATTCCTGTCTGGATCGTATACCCTAAATAAATTTCAAATACCTTATTTGATTATTTGTGGTATTTTTCCGTTATACGACCGCAAACTGAGTGCCAGCCGACTTTGATCGGGTATACCTTTTTAATGCTTGATCAAATACAAATGAATTTTATATCATTCAAAAGCACTTGATATGCTGTTCTTTTCAAACTCCCACATTAAAAAGTTATAAATATGAAAAAATCAAATAACTGGACTAATCGGGTTATACCTTTTTAATAAGTGATCAGATTATATCTTTGCTAATAGAAAATATACAGCTTATCGAGGGCTTTCGAAAAAAAAAATTAATCTGTAATAGACCGATTACGTTAAAAATGCAGTAACATAACGTCTTATTGAGAGAAAGGCGTTCTATCGAGATTCAACTGTAATACACGTTCAGCATGAGGATCGGAGCATCGTAATATTTTCAAATGAAACTTTTATCATATCCCGATTTAAGTATACAAATGTATCTCGATAAGACGTCACTTCAGACATAATGATATCGACATTTGACTGTAATAAATTTGATTAATTCTTTCACTCAGCATGCGTCGACATGCAAGGCCGGCTGATGGGCAAGAGATTAACTGGGCGGCATTTTTTAGGATTAGCTCATAAGAAGATTAGCATCAGCACGTTTGTATATGCGGTAACCATAGAAGGTAAACAATATTAAGTTTACTCATAATCTTTATCTTGCTTTCAGGCATCGCTGGAGGAGGTTATGAGATCTCAAGTTTAGACACAGGTTATAGTGACTGCCATCTCTGTGCAGATTTGAATTCTCTTCATTTACTCCCATGGTCAGAAGGCGCCGTATTGGCAATTTCCAATCCTCATGTAGGCAAATAAATTTATGCCTAAAGATAACTAGGATTTTAAACCACAGTAAATTTAGAAGCATGACAATAATTTTTAAAATTCACCGATTTCAATGTCAAGTTGTCTTCCAACTTTCATATTCATAGATTCTATTAACTCTAAATTTAAAGAATTTCGTTACTTCTGAGCCGTTGTTCTGTTCTCCTCGGGTAATACATGCAGCAAATTGAGCGCCTGGTTAATCTAAAGCTTAAAGGCCTTTTTGCTTCTGAACTAGAATTTAATCTTTTCAATGAAACATATGAGAGTGCCAGCCAAAAGCATTGGAAAAATTTAAATCATCATCAATATATGAAGCATCACCAATATAGTACGCATCATCAATACATGAATATTAGTGCAAGTAGTGGATCGAATCGTTTATGCGTTCGGTGCGCAATAAATTAGAAGAAGCCGGTAGGATCACACAAAAAATACACTAATACATTGAATTAGGTATTTTGATGGAAGCGACACATCCCGAATCTTTGCCTAGTCATCATGAACTTAATTTTGTACCAGCAGATCCTCTAACAATGGCTGATCGTCATATTATTGCAAAACATGGAATTCGCGATATGGCAGAACAGTCTGGAATGATTGCATCTTTTATGGCTAAATTTAGTTCAACTGCGTTTGGTAATGCTTGTCATATTCATAGTGAGAAATCTCGGAATGATATTTTTATTTGCTTTGATTCCTAGTGTCACTTCAAGATGCTGAAACAGGAAAAAATTCATTTTATGATCAAAATGATGAATATGGAATGTCAACATTAGCCCGTAATTGGATTGCTGGATTATTGAAATACGTGCCCGAAGCGGCTTATTTCTTTGCTCCCTACATCAACTCCTATAAAAGACTTCAACCGAATACGTAATAATTTTTATGTCAGTCATTATTTTTAAAATTATAGTTTCGCGCCAACAAAATGTTGTTGGGCAATTGACAATCGAACAAGCGCATTTCGACTTTGTAATTCAAAATCAGCTGGAATTAATGTTGAGCTGCGTATCGGCGGCGCCGATTTGAATCCTTATTTAGCTTTTTCTGCAATCATAGCCGCAGGAATTAGCGGGATAGAAGAAAGTGAGTGTTAGGGGTTTGCTTGGAAATTAATTTCAGTTACTTTAAATTTTAGAGCTTGAACTTCCGTCACCTGCATCTGGCAATGTTTACGATGTTAAGGAATTACCTGAATTTCCTAATTCCTTACATAAAGCTACACATCTTCTAAAAGAATCGAAAATGCTGAATAAAACATTTGGTAATTAAAAAAATTATCAGATTACAATTTGATTTAAATTAAGGGGAGAAGTTGATTCTACATTATGTTAACGCTGCTAATGTTGAAATTAATGAATTTTCAAAACAAGTTACCGACTGGGAGCTTAATCAAGGATTTAATAGATATTAATATTTTAATGCTTATGTAGTAGTAAAGCAGCTGGGCTATAGCTGTTTCTCTCCTTTAGCTAGTGCAAAAGGTAATCGACGGCTGGGAGGGAACCAGTATCTTCAGTAGACCGGACTGATGTTAGCCATTACACCACGCCGCCTACTCACAGCCTTAGGAATTAAATAGCCATATGTTTTACAATATTAATCAAAAATATAATCTTTAGGTAATTACATATGTAATTGTTTTAAATTACCTTTACAGTCCATTTGCTTACTTTCACGCCAAAATGTTGATATTGTTTCAAATCCTCAAATAATTTCCTGGTTTTAAAGGAATTTACTTATTCTTTTAAAATTTTTTGGAAATAGAAGGCCATAACTCACTCAGAGTTATAGTACACGACAAATGGACCATAGGTCCTTAAACACAGAACTGGGTACTATGAGGAAATAGAGGGAAGTTTTTTACCGAATACCACTCTGGAAGGGGGTTGAAAAATAGAATGCAAGGTAAAATTCAATTTCGTACCCCCCCCCCTCCTTTTTCCTTCCTCAAAGTGTTACAAAATGGTCAGTCAGGCTTAGATTATAGAACTCGTCGAGCTATGTCGAATGACACCAAAATCGAAAAAATCCGACTTGATTTGACCAAAATACAGACCACTGAAAATTGAACACCCATAAGAGCGATTTTTTGGAATAGAAAAATTTTGCCCAATTGATAGCTCATTCGAAAGGGCTCGTCGAGCTGAGTCGAATGACACCAAAATCAACGTGATTAGACATGGTTTGACAAAGTTATGACATTATGTAGACCTAACGGAGTCGACGACTTATGTCATATCTTTGTCAAATCTTGTCCAATCGCGTTGATTTTTGTGTCATTTTACACAGCTCGACGAGCTCTTTCGAATGAAGTATCATTTGTATAAATTTTGGTCCCCATGGTTTTTCGCTCTTATGGTTGTTCAATTTTCAGTGGTCTGTATTTTGGTCAAATCAAGTTGGATTTTTTTGATTTTGGTGTCATTCGACACAGCTCGACAAGTTCTATAATCTAAGCCTGACTGACCATTTTGTAACACTTTGAGGAAGGAAAAAGGAGGGGGGGTACGAAATTGAATTTTACCGAATGCAATGGCATCTATTGTAGGAAATACGACATATTATTTTAAACTGTAATATTTATTATTTTGACAATAAATCTAAATATGCAACTTCAATTAAATCATTATTTGATATATCCAAATATTTCGATAAATTAATTAAAATTTCTTTTCCTTCGTCTTCAGTTTGGTCATCACGAAGACAAACCTTTAAAAAATATTTTTTTAATTTTAAAACAAAAATTTCAATAACTTCAATTTCAATAAAATCCCCCAAATTTTCAACTTCATCAATATGCACACGAGTCCGAGTCTGATAAATATAAAGAGCCCTCTTTTTTCTCACACAACCCTTAACACCATAAGCACAAGAAAGGACTTCCTTTAAAAACGATAAATATTCTTTAAAAATTTTTGATAATTTTCACCTTAATTCCCTCACTTTTATTCCCTAATTTGACTTGAGTGAAATCAGATAATTTTGGTCCATTTTGATCATTTCTTTCATAAAAAATTAATTCAGGCTCTTTTTTCTTAAAATTTAAATTTTTTAAACATTTTTAAAGGGTACTTTATTAATATCACGATCAACCTAGAGATCGGAATTTTGAAAAACCGGATCCGGGAAACGGGTTCTGAAAGTTGATCGGGAGAGACCCGGACCTGGAATTCCAGTTCCTGGATTCATCCCGGTTGCTTCTAAAAAACCCGGAAAAGGACCCGAAACACGAATCCCGGACCCGACCGATCTCTAGCTCAACCTCGCTATTTGAGCCTCAAATTAATTTTTCTTTTATTATCATTTTCCTCAAGCATTCTAAGTAAGAGGCAAGGAAAGCTTGTTAATGCAACGGCAAAAATCAAAACTTATTTATGAAGAAAGGAAATTTGCCCATTCGTGGCAGAAAAGAATAAAAGGAAAAATAAACTGAGACTCAAACAGGGAGGGCGGAATATTAATAAAGCGGTTGGGGTCAAGTGAGAGCCGCCAACTGAGTGCTGCCAACTGAGAGCGGGCAACTGAGAGCCGAGCCAACTGAGCGCGGCCAACTGAGAGCCCTTTATAAAAGGGCCAACTGAGCGCGGCCAACTGAGAGCCCTTTATAAAAGGGCCAACTGAGCGTCAGTAAATTTAATTCCAAAAAAAAATTCCAGAATATTTTTCTTTATTGTTTTTTTGTTTTTCTTACTTTTTACGATCTAAAGAACGTTTAAAATGACAGACGAGTTAAATCAGTCTTGGTCTTAATTTTGGGTATTGTGACATATATGGTGTTTTTTTGGGGTAGACCGACTTGGTCGATTGAGGTGTCATTCGAAAGAGCAAGTCGAGCTGCGTCGAATTATACCAAAATTACCGTAATTTGATGATCCTAAACAAAATTGCGAGGAACTGAACTTTCGCTGAAATGACTGTTTTGTGTCGCTACGATGGGGTAGATCTTCGTTGAAAGTTGAGAATTAATAAAAAGGAACAAATTTAAGTAACTGGTGCAGAACCCAGCGGCCGTCGATCAGAAAAACTAATTTTTTCGAATCTTAGTATTTTATTAAAAGTCCTGGCACTCAGTTGGCCCTTTTATAAGGGGCTCTCAGTTGGCCGCTCTCAGTTGGCTAGCTCTCAGTTGGCTCGGCTCTCAGTTGCCCGCTCTCAGTTGGCAGCACTCAGTTGGCGGCTCTCACCTGGTCCGTTCCGTTAATAAAGTATCTCTTCAAATAATCCAAAAAAATTACTTTTTGTTCATTCCCAAAAAATTCCCGAAGTTTTAAACGTCCTTTCTCTGTATTAAAAAATGTATCATGTTGTTGAATGATTTCAGCCTGACCACATGATTGAGTCAGCAAATTGTGATAGTTTTCAACTTTTTGTTTAGAGGATATCCTTGCTTTTATTTCAATATTTTTAGGCATTTTGTTGGTTCTTTTTCAAATTGTTTACGTTGGCTTTATGTTGTACTCTCGTGTAAAATTTCCAAAATTGTTGTAGAATTTTCTCGAATATTTTTTTTATTTATTTTTCTTTTACATATTTCCTCTTGTTTTTGTGATTTTGACATTTTTTAGAGGTTTTGACATTATGAAATTTGATGTTTTAACAATCATCGATTACATTTTTAAAAATTTTCTCAAATGTTTAGGCTTTGGTTTTTTTAATTTTTTGCCCTGAAATGAGTAAATATTCTTTCAGAACGTCCCTTTCAATCTTTTAGGGACACGCCCAAACGGCGCTCGGCCATAACGGCGCGAAGCTATAACTTGCTGGAAGATTTCCTAGTCTTATCAAATTTAGTAGCAAATGAGTCCTCTTTTCGAGCTAAGGAGATTGGTACCAAAATTGTTAAGGGCTAGAAATTATGGATTTGCGCCGTTATGGGCTGTACCCAATTTTTTGTTTTTAAATTAGCCTACAAGGGACACGCCCAAGTAGGTGCACGGCAATAACGGTGCAAAGCTATAACTTGCTGGAAAATTTCTGACCCTTATCAATTTTGGTATCAATCTCTTTAGCTCGATGAGAGGAATCGTTTAATACTAAATTTGGTAAGATTCGGGAATTTCGAAGCAAGTTATGGATTTGCGCCGTTATTGCCGAGCGCCTACTTGGGCTGTACCCAGCCTAAAAATATCTAATTAATTTTTAAATGTTTAAAGATTAAAAATACTAAAAATAAAAATATATTTTTATAAATTAATATCAAAATTGTTGCAATTAAACTTTGACATCCCATAAATTAAAATTAAATACACAATTTAAATGGCAGAGACTGGTACAGAAAATTTTTAAAAATCTTTTCTCTTTTAAATTTTTATTTTTAAAAATCAGCTGTTCCTTCCGTCACGAGAACGGATATTAAAGTAGAAGGGAATCAGTCAAAGAAAGTTGGTGAAAAAATTAAAAAGCAACAAAAAAATATTATTTCTTCTTCTGAAGACTTTTTATCTGCTGATTTGAAATTAATTGTCCCAAATTTAAGCCAATCTGATAATAGCAATTTTAATTGTTTGGTTTGTGTTTTAATTTTTTTAATTAATTTTTTTTGATCAAATGATTTTAAAATTTGGGAAAAATTTTTGGTGTATTAAAGACGTCAGTAAATAAATATGTCATTTTAGATAGTAGATATTTTTTAATTTTCGACTATTTATTTTGATGTCTATTAGACCAAGATACGTTCAAACCTTTGGGGTTACCCAGGGGGTAATATTCAACCGGACAGACTCCCTTTTTTCCTCCCCAAATTTCCCCTATATTTTTCCTTCTTTTACTTCTTTTTGGCATGTTCTTGTTGATTGTAGACATAAATTAGAAAGGCAATTTGGATGGAAGAAAGGAAAAAGTGACCATTTTGCAAAAATATAAGGGAAAAATTTTGGAGGAAAAAAGGGATTCTGTCCTGTTCAATATTACCTTATAGAAATGTCTTTTGCGATTATTTTAATTTTGATTATTCCTATCGTTTCCGTGTAGGAAGCCATTAGTTTCATTTTTATTGTTCTGTTTGAATTGACCACACATGCTGATAATCCAAGAAAAGTCCAATTTTTCCCTTAATATTTAAAAATTTTTCCAAAATAGAATCAATTTCCATTGTATCTTATATTTTCTGTTTTTAGCTCTGTCAATGCAAAATGGAATTACATCCTACACTTATTGAAGATGAAAATTTACTTGCTGACACTCAATCCAGAGAAAGCCGAATTGGAAGAGTTTTATTAGAAAATAGTTTGGATTCGGTTTTTTTTAATTTCTTTTTAATTTTTTAAATAATTTATTTTCTGATTTCAACAAATATTTGTGACGAGCTGGAGTCTCCCTGTATACTTTCTGATTCGATTGGAAATTGTAATTTATTGGATGTAATTTCAAAGTCGAACAGTCCTTTGGATGTGCCTATGTGTAAAGTTGGTTTTTTTTTAATTTTTTTTATTCGACAAATCTCAAATTCGTGGATTCTCATTTTAATTTGTCTACTTTAAAATGGGTACAGCCCAAAATTATTATATTTCTCGCCCTTACGGCGCGAGGCCATAACGGCGCAAATCAGTTACTTGCCGAAAAATGTCTGGCCCTTGTCATAATTGATACTAATCTCCTTAGCTCGATCAGAGGCGTCGTTTGATATTAAATCTGGTAAGATTAGGTAATCTTGAAGCAATTTATGGTTTTGCGCCTTTATTGCCGTGCGTCGTTTTGGGCGTGTCCCTTTATAAGTAACTTAAATGTTGCTTTCCTGCAACGATTTGCGACTACAATTGGAGATTTAAAAATTTTTAAATTTTAATTAGAAATGTGCATCATCGGTAACCTCAGAACTTCAAAAACAATTGGAAGGACTTGAACAAGAGTGTATTCAATATAAACAAACACTTGATAAATTAACCAATAAAAAAGCAAATTCTCCTTTCGATCAAAATGCTGCTACTAGAAAATTGGAAGCTTTAAAGGTTTTTTAAAATAATTTTTAGTTTGTGATAGAAATATTAGGAATTAAAAGTTAATTTCGGGTGTTCCTAATTTTAAAACCTTATTTTAACAATGGATTATTTCCCTATACGGGAGTAGCCCAAATTAACGTAGCCTCAAAGTATCGCACGCCCAACGCACTGCAAATCAATGGTCCGACAATAACCTTAAAAGAAATATTTGTAAGTTGGGCTGCGGTAAGTTGGAGTTTATCCCTATGCGTTGAATGCTTAATTTTTGATTATTCGATTTTTTGTTTCCCTTTCCTTACCATTTAGTATTAGGTTTATTTTCGAAATTAACGAATTAATTTTTATTTTTTTAAAGACAGAAGAACGCGACTTGCTTGACCAATTAAATTTTTTGGAAGAAGAAGAACGTGTTTTGAGCAATGAACTTAATTCAAAAATTGAAGAAAGAAGAAAAATTAATGAACGCGACGAAGAGTTATATAGACAACTTCGGAATAATCACAGGTTTAGGTTTGGTTAAGTTGGTTAAATGTTAGATTTATTCCCTCATTCCATGGACTTTTGTTTTATTCAAAAAAACATAGGTTCGACAAATTGAGGAAAAATTATAAATTTGGAGGTTTTCACTTGTTACGATTTTAAATTTAATAGTTATGAGTTTATCACTCCATGTACAATTTTTATACACTCGAAGATGTGTGAGAGCATCTTCTTTTAGCCCTAAAACCCGTTCTCTGATTAAGCCCTTGAACTGGACCCCTGAACCTTTCTATTACAAAATTTTTTCTCTAAAAAATATTTTTTCCTATTCAATTTTCAGAACTTTAATTGAGCAAACTGATGAACAGAGAGCTTTGAAATTACAAATTAAAAATTCTGAAGAGCAACTTAAACGTCTTTGTCAAACAAATATTTTGGATTTGTGCTTCCACATTTGGGTGGATGGGGAATTTGGGTATATCTTTTTGATTATGTTATTTTTTAAAAGAAATTTTTTCATTTTTTATTTCGAAATGTGGGAGGTATTGCATGGGCCTAGCCAGGGGGCTTCTGGGGCTATAGCCCTCCCCTTGAAATGGGGAAAGTGAAATAATTTTAGGAGGGAAATGATTAGAAAAGCGATTTTTACGCATACAACCCACAAAATTCTCAAAATTTGCGTTTGCAAAAATGCCAAAGTAAACGCCAGAATTTTGGCAAACACCCTATTTTAGCCCCCCCCCCCTGAAATCGACCACATGGCTACGCTTTGAGGAATTGGGTTTCTTCATTAATTTTTTTGAAAAATTATATTCTTGTTTTAAAAATTTCATTCATTTTTCCCTCCCCTTTTTAACAATTTTTTTTAATTCTAGAACAATCTCCGGTTTTCGTTTGGGTCGTCTTCGACAAGAACAGGTTGAATGGAATGAAATAAATGCTGCACTAGGTCAAATGGCTTTTCTGTTAAAAGTATTTTTTCTTTTATATTCCTAATTTCTTTTATAAGGTAATTGCTGAACGTTTGGGAATTGAATTTGTTGGTTATGAACTAGTCCCTTTTGGAAGTTGTTCTTTTATTCGTTCTCTTCGAAAAGATAATTCTGATAAAATTGAAGAACTTCCTCTCTATGGTTTTTATAGAAAAATCTAAAAGAAAATTAATTTTTAATTTAGGCAGTGGAGGTTGGCGTCCATTTGGTCAACCAGCACTTGATAAAGCTTTGATAGCTTTTATGGATTGCTTTATTCAGGTTTACAATTATTTTACTTTATATGTGTTTAATATGTAGCACCCCGAGCCTACGGGGTTCGGGTCGTGGTTTTTGCCAAAAACCCCGTCGGGGTTTCGGGGGACGGGGTGCTACCCTAGTTTAATAGTAAATAAAATTTCCATTTTAGGTTGAGAAACGTTTAAAGCAACATTTTCCTGGTACTCAACTATTGCCTTACCGAATGCAAAAGACAAGATAATTGACAGAGATTCTCAATATTTAATAAAGATGCAGCTAAATTCACCGGTAGGTTTTTTGAATTTAATAACTTAAGTGTTATTTTTTGTTAGATAATCTGAAAAAGAGAAGGGATTTTAAAAATGATTTTTAAAGCAATTAGGAGTATTTAAAAAAGGGATTTTGGGGTTTAAAAGAGATAAAGAGGGGTTTGTTGGGATTAAGGCCGATATTTCGGGTTTGGGAGGATTAACAAAGATATTAAGTTATTTGGTTGGTTTAAGATGAAAATCAGCCGATTTTGAGGGATATCAGTAAATTTTTATCTCTATATCAATACTGACCGATTGTCCACTGACGCATTGTCCTGACACGCTCTAAAGATGCCAAATAATTATTTAAAAAATTTTTAAGGAGCGTTGGACAAAATCAATGAAATGTCTTTTGCTAAACATGAAACGTGTTATTGGTATTCTAACAACTTTGCCTATCGTCACCCAGCAACAACAAAATAGTCCACAACTTAGTAGTGGTACTTTAACACCAACAATTAACACGTTGAAAATATGAGGTAGAACAGATAATTTTTATTATCGAATAAATCAAATATTTGGTTAAATATTCTTCAAAGGTTTGATCAAAATTTTTTCCTTTTACGTGTATTTTATGTTTTCCCATGTATTCTTATCACAGCGAGTTTATAAAATTATTTTTTGATTAAATTTTTTTTATTTTAAATGGTTTCAAAGTTACCGCTGATTTTTTGAATTTTTATATTTTTTCGACTAAATTTTAATGTTTTCAGTTATTTTTTAAATTAATCTTCAAGAAATTCTTTTTTAATTCAATGCCAACTTCAAACGAGGCTGAGGAGCCTGGGGAGACAACAGCTATAATTTCTACTCAACAATTCCAGCCCCCACAAATTTTGCGTCTTATTTCTAATTCTGAAAATGCTTCATTCCATCCAAGACGACGTCGAATTAATAGAAGATCTAGCAGTAGGATGAATTCCCGTGAAAGATTGTTGGCTGTGAAAGGGCGTAGTTTATATTCTAAGGCTGAAAGTCAGCAGGCAAGCATGGCGAATGCAGGTTCCTTTTTTTACTAAAATTAGTTAATTTGTAAAAATATTAAGTTCATAACCGAATATAAGTTTTTTAGGGTTCTTATCGGTTATACGCCCACAAACTGAGTGGCATCCGAATTTGATCGGCATAACTTTTTGATGCTTTGATCCAATTTAAATAAACCTTATATTATTCGAAAGCCCTCGCTAAGAGGAATTTTTTTCCAACTTAAAGGATCAAGTTTATCACTCGTTAAAATGTTATAACCCGATAAATGTAAAAACATGTAATAAATGGACTCATCTTGTTATACTTTTTAAATGGTTGATCAGACTTGATCTATCCTGTGGAAAAACGGGGCTGCTTATCGTGTGCTTTTGAACGATACAAGAATTATTTGATTGGATCAAGCATCAAAAAGACAAAGCCGATCAAATCGGCTGGCCCTCAGTTGGTGAGCGTATAACCAATAAGTACCCATTTTAGCTGGAATATTTTCAAAAAAAATTTAAAAAATAATTAGAAAATCTTTTAAGGTCTGACGGTTTCTTTATTCCTTTTGGCTGCGATTTGTGGTGCACATTTACTTCGGACATCAACAACTGACCTCACAGATGTATTTAAAAAATCTTATTTCTCTTCTGATATTCAAATATTTATCAAATCTCTTTATTCAAATATTCACCATCATCAACCATTCACTTCTCATCAACTCTATAATTTTGATATTCAAACAAAAATTTCGCAAAATATAAATGAGAGGTTTCAAAGATTTGTGGAGCGGTTGGAGGAGTATGTTCCTTCTTCGATTACCTCAGCTTCACTAAATGACTGGATGCTTTTTGGACATTTTGGTGAAAGGCAAGAATTACAGGTTAATGTTTTGCTGGCTGAAAGACGTCGTAGAACGGGTAAATTAATATTTGTTAGCTCTTTGGGTTTTCCCAATTTTATGGAAAAATCGTTTTTATAGTGGGTATTTAGATGGATGATTTAAATAAATTAGTAGCCCGTGGGTTGATTTTAGGGGGGGAGGGCTAAAATGTGGGGTGTGCGCCAAAATTTTGGCGTTTACTTTGCCGTTGCCGTTTTGAACCAAAATTTTTTGTATATACCTATTTTTATTTCAGCGTCGCAGGAAATTTTTTAGGGGTGTTGTGAAAATTTTGGTTCACTTTTTTGATCATTTCCCTTCCAAAATTTTTTCATTTTCCCCATTTCATGGGGGCTATAGCCCCCTCAACCTCTTGCTATGCCCTAGACAACTACCTAAACTTAGGTTGTTTGGTTTCTTTATATTCTTTATATCCAGATTCTCTTAATTGAACAAATCTAAAAATATCTTAATAATTAAAGTCCAACGGCAACGAAGTCCAACACCGATTCCTCAATCAATTTCTTCACCTCGATTTATTAATCGACAGCGTAATACTTCTTCAGCTCCACCAGATTCTCTTAGAAGTTGGGCCCATTTGTCTACATCCCCAACATCGATACAACCATCTACTTCTGATTTTGGGACAAATTCTAATCAAAGTAATGAACCAACACTTATGGATTATGATGCTATTGATTCTTATTGGAGATGGGATATTGAGCAAGAAAAGGGAGGATTATCGCCCTATCAAAGATTAAATGATTTTGGACATCAATTAGATGAAGATTATTATTATTTAAATAATGAAAGAAATTTTCAAGAGACAGATATTCTTTTTGAGCGTGATATTCAATTGCTTACAGAGAAGGGTTTGCTGCCAGACCAGACTGTATATATTTTCTGAATAAATTTAAAAAATAAAAAAATTTTTTTCAGAATTTTCTTCAAGACAATTTAAATGACAATGAGGTTAATCTTTTGGCTAATTTCTCTAGAACTCTCAGTTTTGATGGAATTATTGAAAATCAAAATGAAAATACAAAATGGAATGATTTATTACAATTACCTACAAGTTCTCTTTTTGTGTCTTCTGGACAAGGCAAATATTTTAATTTTTGTATTTAATTATAATTAGTAGGGACCGGATTTTTAGGTTATAACCTATTTTTTCTGCGAAATAGTTATGATGAATTGAGCTCAAATCCGTTGTTATTTTTCGAAAATCTTTCGTTTACGCTGACTTATTATCACCTATTCAAACCTATTTTGGGGTTTTGAAACCTAAAATAGGCCGGCAACCCTAATTATTAATTAGGGTTGCCGGCCTGGACCGGCCCGAAAGATCGAGTCGGGCATCGAATTTTAGCCCGAAAAAGACTCGGTTGGGCCGGCCCGAAAAAATGAGGCCCGATAAGTGACTCGAACGTCGGCCCGACTTGAAAACGGCAACCCTAATTATGTTATTTTTAGACAGAAAAACATCAATTATTTCTCATTCTTCTTCATATAATTTTCAGGTAGATAGCCTATTTAATTTATCATTTTAAAACTTTTTCTAAAGATTGACGAATCAGAACTGCCCAATATTCCAATTCATTCTCCTCTTCAAACAGAAAATAATCCAAATTTAAATCAAAAGGATTCTGTTCCAAATCAAAGAGAATTAGGCTGTTCTTCTCGAGAATCTATTTCAGCATTATCGGATATTAGACAACCTATTTTATTTAATGATGTTTCACTGGCCCGTTGTTCTTCCTCATCGGCTTCAATTGGGGAGAATAGCGATAATGAAGAAATGTTGATGGAACGACAACAAATGCTTGAAGGTGATAATTTTTTAAGTTAATTTTACTTAATATTAAAAAATTTTTAAAAATTCTCTTTAAAAGCGATGAATATTTTTTCTTTTGTTTATTTTCTTCAACCCCTTTCATATTTAATTTCTACTCTTTAAATCAAAAAAATAAAATATTAATCAAAATATAAATTAATTTTAATTGGGTGTTGAAAGGCCATATTTTGTCGCAAAAAATATTTTTATGTAAATAAATTAAAAAATAAATTTATTCTAAATATCATCCTCGGTTCCTCTTTATTTACGTAATTGGGGGGCGATTTGCAACAAAAAATTTTTGAACAAAAAAGTTGCGCACAAATTCGAGATTGGCGACTTTTATATACACAAACTTATCAAAAAGCATTAAAATTCTCATTTATTTAATTATAACGAGCAAAATTTGATTGTCAAGGCGATTATTTAAGTAAGCATTTATTTTGAGAGAGAGTGAAGATTTATTTAAAAAGAAAATTTTTTTATTAATTTATTAAGTATTCGCAACATATTTTATGAAACATTTTAATTAGTTTTTGTTTACGTAATTATTTGATTAAAATTAATTGGCTGATAAAATTTTTCGAAAATTTTATTTGACGAGAAATTTTGGAGATTAATTAAAATTACTTACGGCAAATTTTACTGTTTGTTGTAAAATTTGCCGTTTACGTCTGAAATCCGTTCATTTCTTTGATTTATTTTAGAAACACAACAAATTTAGAATAGTAAACGGTTTTTAAATTTTTATTGGTCTAGAGTACACTCTGTCCCAAAATTATGAGTTCACCCCTAAATTTCATCATAATATGGGTTTCAGACTACAAAATCAAAATATTACTTAATATATGTTTATTTAACTTGTTCTAACATATAATGGCAAGTTTTCAGACAATTTGCAATATTAAGGCGAGAATTACGCCAATATTTCTTAAAAACAACTGTCCCAAAATTATGAGTTCACTTTTTTTCTTTGCATTTTTCAACTGTTAAATTTATTTTAATGAAGTAATCTTTTTTTCAGAATAAAATATATAAATCTTAAATTAAAATGCCAACTGGAAAAAAGCTAACTGATATTGAGAAAGGGGAGATTCTGGCCTATAAGGAATCTGGAAAAAGTAACCGATGGATTTCCCGAAAAATTGGACGTTCTCTTTGTGTTATTAATCGTTTTGTTAAAAATCCTGATAAATATGGCAAGGCAAAACATACAGGAAGACCAAAAAAGCTTAGTGATCGCACAAAAAGACGGATTCTCAACGAAATTTCGAATTCTACAACGAGTATCCGCACCCTCAGAAATGAACTAGCCCCGCATGTAAGCAAGTCTACGGTTCATAGGGCCTGGCCAGCCAAGTCCCCTGATATTTCACCTATCGAAAATGTTTGGTCGATGTTGGTACGCGATATTTATTCCGAGGGGAAGCAGTATAAAACGGTATCTGAGCTTAAAACTGCCATTAGAAATGCATGGAACAAGTTGTCGCAAGTAAAGGTAGCTGAACTCATTGAAGGAATGCATAAAAGAATGATTGAAGTTATTGAAAATAAGGGGGGATTAACACATTACTAGATTATATTAAATATATATTTTCGCTTATGTATAACCTTTATATTTGTCGCAAAATAAAAAAGTGAACTCATAATTTTGGGACAGTTGTTTTTAAGAAATATTGGCGTAATTTTCGCCTTAATATTGCAAATTGTCTGAAAACTTGCCATATACAGTAGTGGACATAAAGATAGGGACAAGAGTAATTTAAATGCAAATTAACTATTTTTCAGTCAAAAAATACGTTCTATATATCAATCGAAAGCTCTATTCGTATCTCGGTTGACATGTTTCTGCATTTTTCATGAAATTGAAAATTGACCGAGATAATCCGGATCTACCGGATATACCAAATCCTATATCCTCGGAAAAATTTTTCGGAACAAATTTAACAAACCCAAATGATAAAGCATATTTTTGTGAGTATTTTCCACAAAACCGCTTAGAAATATCTTTTTCCGGACCAGAGATATGATTTTTTGAAAATGGCATTTTTCCCTTAAAAATTGAATTTTTTGCAAAAATAGGCTAAAAATGCCATTTTCAAAAAATCATATCTCTGGTCCGGAAAAAGATATTTCAGAGCGGTTTTGTGATAAATACTCACAAAAATATGCTTTATCAAATGGGTTTGTTAAATTTGTTCCGAAAAATTTTTCCGAGGATATAGGATTTGGTATATCCGGTAGATCCGGATTATCTCGGTCAATTTTCAATTTCATGAAAAATGCAGAAACATGTCAACCGAGATACGAATAGAGCTTTCGATTGATATATAGAACGTATTTTTTGACTGAAAAATAGTTAATTTGCATTTAAATTACTCTTGTCCCTATCTTTATGTCGACGACTGTATGTCAGAATAAGCTAAATAAACATATATTAAAAAATACTTTAATTTTGTAGTCTGAAACCCATATTATGATGAAATTTAGGGGTGAACTCATAATTTTGGGACAGAGTGTAGCACTTCCCGCCTTCGAGGGCGGATGCCGGGTTTTGGGCTTTGCCTGGATAAAACCTTAGGGTTTAGGGTCGGGAATTTTGCTCAAAAATTTGTCGAGGTTTCGCGGGACGGGTTGCTACTCTAGTTTGATCCCGGATTAAGTTTAAATTGTTTTTAAATGTCCCAAGTCTAGTTATGAACTGTGCTATATTTTAGTTACTTTTTAAATCTTTCAACATTTCTCTAAATTTTAGATTTTATTTATCTTTTTTATGTTCTTTTGGTTATCTGATTTAAATTTGGTTTTATAAAAATTTTGACTTATGTATTATTCTCACTTTCCTTCCAAAACTTCGAATTTTGTCCTTCATTTTCACTTATCTTTTTCTGATCAATTTTTTTTATATTTTATTATATTATCTTCTATTAATTTTTGCTTAAATTTTAATGTTTTTTTAACATTTCTGAAGCCAATTTATCTTTTAATTTTTCATTCAAATTAATAGTTTAATTTTGCCAATTTTTATTTTTTTTTTAATTTTTAATTTTTTCCATAACTTAATTTCCATCGTCACAAACTTTTCTTTTTTCTTTATTAAAATTTTACTTATTTTTTTTCTAATTTTTTAAAAATATATAAATACAACTTTTATTCAAGATTCGTCTCACTCTGTTTTCTCAAATTATTTAAAATATTTTTGTTGTCCATTTTAATAAGTATCATTTTTGCTATCTATTTTGTGTTTCTTTTTCTTTTTCTTCTTTTTTCATTTTTTTATTCGCAACTTCACTAATAAGTGCATTTCCTGTCCTCATGTTTTTTACTATATTTTCATCATATCTTTGATGGAAAACCAAAAATTGTAATTTTATCATTTAATTGTTTCTTTTGGAAGGAAATTTTTTGATGAGAATTTAGCACTTTTGTCAAACAAATCTTTTAATATTAAATAAATAAAATAATAAAATTTTGTTTATTTTCTTTAAAACATCCAATTAAACGATTATTTTCTTAAATTTTTATTTTTTGGAAAGTTTTTTGAATTATTTAATGAATGTTTTTGAGTGTTTTGGAAGGAATAGATTTGCTTGCAATAATGGTGTATTAAGAAATTATAAGCGTGCCTAGATTTTTCATTTCTCAATGTTTCAGTCATCGAATTTATTTGAAATTTTTACATCAATATTGTTATGTAAATAAGACATACAAATAATCTTAGATTAATTTTAACTCTTTCATTTTTTATAAGAGTTTTTCCTCAAAAAAGGTGTTAAAAATTTCAAATAAATGCGATGACTGAAACATTGAGAAATATGAAAAATAATTTCTTAACACACCATAAGTTACTGGGATCGGTTATAATTATAACTAGGGATATATGACGCATTTTAATAAGATTGAGGCGGAAGAAAGGAGAACAAAATAAAATTACGGAAAGCGGATTTTATATTTTTTTGAATCTGAATTTTATTCAATTTTATTTTTTAATCGATTTATAGACATCTTTTTGGGAAACTTTTGCCATCTTTTTGACTATTTTATTAAACGATCATTCACAGTTTATATTTTAACGATTTTTTTGCCGTGACTTTAGTCAAGCTTTTCCCTAAAATTGGCAAAAAAATTCTTTCTTTTTACATCCTTACATTAATTTTTTTTATTTTATGTCAACATTCTTCTTTTTTTGTCTTCATTTTAATTTTCTTATGATTTTAATGCCATTTAAAAAATTTTTTTCTAAATTTGTTTAAATATTGCCTTATTTATAGCACTTTTATTTACTCTCAAAATTAGACATAAATAATTTTTTAGACAAGTTTTTATTTAAATTTTTAATTAAATAATTTTTTTATCGTTATTCCCTCTTCAATTTTCTCTTTAATTTCTATTATTATTTTAACATTTTTTTAATATTGCACTTTATCATTAAATTGCACTTTATGTTTATATTTATTTAAAGATGTTTGTAATAAAATATTACATTAAAAATCCAACTTTCTTTTATTGGCTTCTATTCTCTTCCATTTTTTGTTTTAGTTTTAAAGTGATTCATATATTATTTTGTTTCTGGAAAACTTTTTAATTTAAATGTCATGTATCTTATTTAAAGCTTAAATTTTGTCTCTACATGAAAACTTAAAAAGGAGAATCTCCTTCAGTTTTTATCTCAGCTACTTGGAAATTTATTCTTCTCTCTATTGGGAATCTTCTGAAAGTTGTCGGTCTCTAGGGGTATGCGGCGGGCCGTATAGAGACCATTCTTAGTCTTCTGAAAGTTGTCGATCTCTAGGAGTATTCGGCGGGTTGAACAGAGACCATTATTGGTCTATGTTCGAGAAGTTGAGTTTGAATAAAGTTGAGGGTCTCAAGGGATATGCGGCGGGGCCGTATAGAGACCATTCTTAGTCTAAGGGCGAGAAGTCTAGACCCTCGTCTATTCCACTTTATTCTCAATCTTGCATTAATTTTTAATTTAAAAAATATTAAAATTTTGTTTTTTTTTAATATTTATTTTTCAGAGCAATCTTTGCAACATTCTATTACCAATCAACAACAATCTATTCCATTAACAGATAATTTTTCTGAAAAAGGATTAACCGAAAAAAATCAAAAAACTGAAAAAGACGAGGAAGCAAAGGACGAAGCTGAAACAGAAATGCTTTTATCAGCACTCTTTCCTCAATTATTTTCCCCTCTTCCAATTAATGATCCAAGGTCGTCCTCACAACAAAATTCTCCATTATTTTCCGATGGAAGTTTAGTTAACAATAGTGAAGTTGAAGGTGATTATTTTTTATCTTGTGATTATTTTGTGATTATTTGGTAATATCTGACTGAAGCAGGCCCGTAGCCTGGGGTAGGGGGGGGGGTGGGGAATTCTCCGGGGAAAAGGAAAAAAATTTGGGGAACGGTTTGGGCAAAAGGTGAATTTTTTGGCCTACAGCCTTCGAAATTTTAAAAATGTTCGTCTGCGACGCTAAAAAGTTTTTTTTGCCTGGACGGAAGCATTGACATTGCGCAGAATATCCTCGCAAACCTGGGAAGTAAAGGAGGAGGGGGAGGGTTGTAGCTTGACAAATTTTAAGGATTTTTAAAATTCAAATTAAAAATTATTTTGTAGCAATTCTACAAAATTTAAAGAATTATTTTGTAGCAATTCTACATGAGTTGGCAGCAGCAGAGGTTATTTTAATGAACAGTACCCAAACGTTGACCCAAAACAATTTTTTATCAAATCAACTACAAACTTCAATTGAACAAATTGCAAACACCCACCAACAACCTTCATCTTTATCGCCTTTAGCTTTACCCCTTTCACCTTCAGTTGGGCCTCTTTCACCCATTTTTGAACATTTTAATCAAACTTTAAATATGAATGGTTCTCCTCCTTCTCTTCCATTTGACGCTAATGGGAATTCTTTTAATCTTTTTGGGGCTCCACTCAATCTTTATTGCAACACTACTGTTCAAAATAGTTGTTCACCTACTACAAGGTGTTTATATTTTTCATAAATTATTTCTCAATATTTTATGTACTTTTTGGTCAGTACAAAAAATAGTACATTATTATAAAATAATTATGAATTGTTATTAAACAATTTTCATTAAAAATCTGGGTGTCCGGACATCTCGGGACGGACATATTGGTATTGGGGTGCCAAAACATAATTTCTTCTTGTTTACGTTTGTTCTAAAACATAAAAACTCTATTCTTCAATAGGACAATACACTATCCAAGACCCAGTGGCCGTAGGTCCAGAAATCAGTAAGGTAACTGTTCGTACATTGAAATATCACGATATGTCCGTCCCGATATGTCCGCGTGCCAAAAATCTGTATATTTTATAATTCTCATCAATTATTTTCAAGTTCATCTTCTGTCGGGTTGCCTGTCACCGATTCTAATATTGTTTCATACAATTCTCCAACAGAAGTAGTTGGTTCTTCAGAATTATCTAACAGTGATTCTTTTGCCTTCCGTTACGAACAAAAATTAATTCCAAAAAATTCTGATAATTTTCAAAAAATAAAAAATCCGCCAATTAAAAGTTTGGAAAGACAAGTCCCAATGAAAGCTAAAGGAAAAAGAGGACGAAGATCGAAAGATGATTGTGAGTTGTTAAAATTATTTGCGATTAGATTTTATTTGGAATTCATAAACATTAATACACGGTTAAATCCGATGGGAGAAATTAACAAAGATACCGAATTTTAACATAAAATTTTCTCGAATAAATTCTGTGTATATTAACGTAAAACCTTAAATCAAGGTTGGCGGATAGTTGGAAATCAACGGATATCCGGATCCGATATTCGAACCTAAAATTTCCGGATATCTGAACTTTTTTCGGAACCGGATCCGCCAACCTTATATACATAGTACTACAGCCTTTCTATTTTTCAAGTCACTCTTTAAAGGGTATTAGTGAGAGGCCCTGCGATTTAGAGGCCTTTTTTAGAGGATTTAGAGGCCCTGCGATTTTTAATTTAAGTTTTTTTGCCAACCCCCCATTTCCTTTAAAACATTAAATTTTAACTTTTGTTTAGCCCTTGTAAATCAATACGACCTTCCCTATTCTGCTGAACATCTTACAGCAATGTCTTATCGTGATTATTCTTCCTTAATGCAGGATGTTCGTTTAACTAGCCAACAAAAGGCTTTAATTAAAAAAATTAGAAGAAGAGGTAGTTAAAATAAATATCCTTCTAGAAATTATTTTAATTTCAAAATAAAAGGTCGTAATAAATTGGCGGCGAGAAAGTGTCGTGACCGTCGTTTAAAGAATGAAGCTAGATTTGATGGGGAAGTGGTTTTTGATGAATATATTGAAGAGGAAGAAGATTGGGTTGAGGATATTGATGTTGTTGATGTTGATGATTTAAGTATTGTTAATAAATGGAGAAATGTTAGCAAAGCAAAATTTAATAATGAAGGAAATAATTTTGAAAAGAAATTTGGAGAAGAAGATAAGGTAAATATTAAACGGCTGTACTTTAGCCGGTGGCCTACTCAGAAACGGGTCAAATTACATATCATTCGATTTGTCTCGGCTAGCTGAGTCGAATGGAACTGGCTTCTAATAGCCGAGATATAGGTCCTTAAAAACCGAAAAACCATATAGGGGAGTAAGGCCGATTTTGGAGTTCAAAATTCGAATATACAAATAGCTCATTCGAAAGAACTCATCGAAAAAATATTTTTTGGGGAAAGTAAATTCAATTTTTAGTCACTAATGTGTTAAGGGTTTTCAAATATTCTAAAAATGGTTAACTAAGCGAGCATATTAATTTATGAAAATAAAATATATTTAAAGTTATTTTCTTTAATATGTATTGTCAGAATATCCTTTAGTGATTAAAAATATTTTTATTTTAAACTGAAGAATTTTTGAAAATAATATTACCTATAGATTTTATTTGATATTCAAAAAATACTACCAAATTATGAAAAATATTTATATAAATATTTTTATTTTTTTTTCAAGTTTAAACAAGAAAGTATTTCACGTTTTCCGTCTACCTCAGCATATGCAAACAATATTAATTCTAACCAACAGCAACAATTTCCCCCTTTAACTCAAAATATTTTAAATGAAAATACTTCTCCTTCAAGGCAACGTTCACGTAAACAACAACATCCCTCTACACAACAATTTGCTATTCGGGTTGAAATTTGAAAAAAAATTCGGGTGATGGTGATTAAATTTATATACATACTATGTACAGGGTGTTTCAACTAAGAAATACATATTATTATTTTTATTTTTGGCTTTTTTCTTTTTTTGTGAATTTAATATTTCTTTTTTTTTATTTAATTTTCATTTGTCATAAATTTTGAATATGTATTATTTAGAAGTTTAATTGACAAAAATGGGACGGGGGGGGGGGGGGGGGGAGGGGGGTTCTTATTTTTTTATACATAATATCAAGAATCTTTTTACTGAAGAGAGATTTAAGAAAGTCTAAGCTGTACTTTCGTATATGCCCACCGAGATCGAAAATCGAAGTATAGACCATCCGATTCCTCTCGCCGAACTTAGTTTAATACAAGAATTTTTTGTCGGAGATTAAAACTCGCAGAGATATGGGCAATTGAGTATTGAAAAGCCATAGGGGTTGGCCAGGCTGATTTTTGTGGTAAAAAATTCGATAATACAAATGATAGAGCTCATTCGAAAGGGCTACTCGAGCTGAGTCAAATGCCACCTAAATCAAAGATCTGATTTGACTAAGTTATGACTATTTGTTTTAGCCCTCGCATAAGGCCTCCGCGGACAAGTTTTTACTGCTGCGGAGGAAGCCGGGCATGTCGAGCGTAACTACTTCTATAAATTAATTTTTAATAAAAAATAATTACTAATATTTATTTGAAAAATCAAATCCATTTAATATTCATTTAAAATCCCCAAAAAATTATTTTTTCCCAAAAATTATTTTTTTTAATTAACTTCCATCATTTACTTTTTTATTTCAATTATTTCTTTATTCTCCCAATTTAATTTGGTTCATTATTGCAGTTTTCAGTAAGACATGGAATGCAGGTTACTTTAGGTTTTTTATGATCTTTCCGTTTAGGGCAGCCAGCGTATGTCGAGCAAAATTGACCTTTTTCTAATTTACCTTCTCCACAATCACGTAATTCTAATAATTTTTTTTATTAATTTATTAAAAATTTAAAAATATATATTATTTAAATATTTACGAATAATTCCATCACATCGAAGTGTTAAACACATTGCACAATTTACATTTTTATACGATGTTATATTGCCTTGACTGCATGTAAGTCCTAAATTTAATTTTTATTTATTTAATTTTTTTGATAAATTTTACCTAAAACATTGTCAAAATTCGCAATAAATAATCCGAAAGCAACAAAGAAAATAAATTGAAATTTTGTGGAAGCCATTTTAAATTTATTTAAATAATTTTAAAATATTCTATAATTTTTTATAATTTTAAAATACGTATTTTACAGTGTGTTACATTATTATTAGGGACTCCCAAAATATGTACAAATCTGCAAATATACACGGGAGGGCCGAAATATGCAAATATATGCATTAAGAACCTGGACCTTAATCGCCCGGACCAACGTAAGAACACCATTTTTGGGCTTCCCAGCTCAAGGCATATTTACATACAAAATATGCATTTGTATGTTTTGTGAGTCCCTAATTATTATAAAGAAATTCAAAAATTTAGAATTAAGTACAAACTTATCTTTACTAAATTATATTTATCTTAAAGGTAAAATTGCCTAATAATTAAAGAAAAAGCCTTTTAGGTCTTAAAAATTAAAAAAAACAAAATTTAGAATTTTGTTTTCTTTCAGAAAAATCAAAATTTATTTTTAAATTTAAACTAAATTTTAATTTAAGACGCATTTTTAAGGTTAAAAATTATTCTTTATATATTACAGACAAAGAATTGTTTACAAACCTTTTTTAAACAAAAAGCTTATTCAAAATCTTAATAAAAATATTTTTTTATTATTTTTCTGCTTTATAATATTTTACAAAATTGTTTTTAATAATAAAAAAATATTTTTTTTATTTTGCATTGCTGGCAAAAAAAATTTTTTTTTGAAAATATTTTTGAGTAAAATATGTTTTGCTCTCTATTAGTTATGTTCGAGTGTCTAAGAGATTGATGTCAATATCAGTGAATACCTAAATATTGTGTAATATTGGAGATTCAAGGTATTTTTGGGGATTATGAAGGGCATCAAGTGATATCCCTCTTAATCTCTCGGTCTCGACTCTCGACTTGGTCTCGGTCTCGGGGTTAATTATCGGGTCTCCACTCTCGGCTTTATTTAACTCT